AGATGAACCTAACCTAGACATATATTTCTTGATCTGCTATGTATAATTTGTCAGTAGGTTGTAGGAGTAATATGGTTCTCTCTGGTTTTCAAAACTAGCTAGGAGTTGTTTGTCTCTCACATTGTCTCATCCCTTCATTATGGTTTTCCCACTTAAGTTGCCCCCATTTCCCCCCTTTCTCCCTTACTAATACGCTTATCCTACGGTCCTACCTCCCTTGAGCTCCTTCTTTCCCTTTCTCCCCTAGGTTCCTTGTATACCCTTCCCTCCCCCCCCTTTAAACTAATCAAATTTTTATCCATGTCTCCCTTCTTAAGGTCTGTTGCCTACTATTCTTCTCCTTCAGGTTATTTCTTTTCCTTTACCTCACTGTTTCCTTACCCTTGTCCTGGTTCCTGCAGTTATGTCTGTTTGCAGACTTATTTATCAGAGTCTGATCCTAGGATCCACATATGAGGGAGAACATAAAAACAAATATATTTTTGCTATTTTTCTTATAGTATGCAAAAGTGAATCTCTGCTTTAAACATTGCTTCTAATGTTCTTACGGGCACACTATTTCTCAAAACTTTCTAAGTAGGATAAAAGCAGACCAAGGGAAAGTCTTTTATTTCATTTAGGAATGCCTACTGGAAATATTTTGGTGTATTCCTGCCCTGCCTTAGTGCGAGAGTACTTTTTTATGCTTATATCAGCGCCTCCTACAAATAATAATTTCTATTTTGAAGGAAAATTTGAGAATGGTGTTGCAGAAGGAATGGTGGACCCAGATCTTAACCCTATTTCAGCCTTCCGACTTTCAGTAATTCACAATTCTGCTGTTTGGGCCATTCTTAATGAGGTAAGAAAAAATCCAAGCAGTGAAATCACTTAGCTACTACGCTTATTTTGATTTTGTGTATAAAGATTTTTTTGGAATTGAGAGTTAACCATTTTATTGTTCCTTTCATTATTTTGTATTTCAGATTCATATTAAAAAAATCACCAATTGATCTTCTAAGATACCAACACATTCTTTCCTGTGACTCTGTCAATTAAACAGAATGAGCATGCACCTTTTTGGGGTTTTTTTTGAACTTGAACACTACCTCTTGTGAAATCTACTGTAGATAAGATGATTGTCATTTCCACTTGGACAGCAAATCTCCCATGGATAATTGCATTCATCTGAAACTAAGCTGTCCTTCAGTTTTAACTTGACACAAGCATTTTACAATTATAACAGTCTGTTAATATGACTTGTACTATTTTGATATTATACTAATACATAAGAGTTGTACCTATTGTTACATTCCTTAAATTTGAGAAAACTAATGTTAAATACATTTTATGAAGGGGGTACTTTTGAAGTTCATTTATTTTACTATTATAGACCCTCTTTTATAGATG